CGGCTTTTCGCTGATTAACGTAGGACCTTATTATAGTGTAGTGAGACTATTTCGGTAGGCTATGTTTTCCTATATAATTGACGTTTTTAACATATCTCATAATTAGTTTATCTATTCTTCCACTTGCTGAATGGAACGTGAATCGTAGAATTTTTCCATGAGTGTTGAATATATACTTACAGAGACTCTCTTTGTGATTGTTTTTAAGAAAGTGTTATATGCTTCCGGGATCGGATTCTGATCAACTTGTATAGTAGAGTGTAAACATACTTTTAATACGTCACGAGTTATCAATACTCGTAGTGTTTCAGTCGTAAACATAAATAGGTGACCTACGTGTTCCACCGTTATTGTTACATGCGTTTCTCGAATAATGAGTTATTACTCTTTAAAAGTGTGTCGTTAAATTTTACCAAAGTTTATTCAGAGCTCTTCTAGTTCCGAGATACTAAATTTCCATATTGTCGTGGTTCCTCTGAGTCCTTTACTTCCGGATGCAGTCGTGTGATGTGTTTTCGCATCGATGCCGCATACAATAATCCACGATTGTGAGGACTTTAAAACTTGCTACGTACCCTATTTTTTTGACTAGGTGATAAGTGGTGTTTTAACCACGATTCATCTATGATCTTCGTTTTTTTACAGTCACATCCAATATGTCAGGCTACTATGGGTATATGGGTTCATACACGTAGTTCTGTGATCTCTAAGGATCTGGACTTTGCTAAGAGCCTAGTTATTACATTACTCGACCTATCGCCCATATATTGAACTAACATTTTCACCCTCGTAAGATAAAAACATGTCCGGATACCGATGATCGGCACTCATATCTTGGAATACAAAGTACGTTCTAAGCGGAAAGGTCGTGTCAATCGTCAGTCGGATGTCATAGTTAGCTATTAATTATATGATGTATATAGGACTGGGAATATTCCGATTCAGTCGGATTATTATTATTGAAGTATACAAGTTGTTATATGGTCACTACCTGCGTCCAGTATCAGATGCTATACTGTATGTATGAACTGTGATACCCTTTGGGCCAACCGTTGGGTCCCATCGGTCCCGTGACTCGAATGTCATGTAGATAGGTGGGTTGCACGATGAGACTGTCGAGGAAAGGATCCCATAAAATAGTTCAAGTCCGAGCTGCTGGCAGGGGACAAGCCAGACGTCCGGTGGTTGTAGTCACGCACACAGCAGGTACGAACTCATGAACCGACTCAATGTGAAATTCCTTTCCTGTACGTCTACATCTTAATTTTAGATTCCGTTAAACCAGGCTAAGCACTGCGAATTGACCGTTTCTAGCCTTTTCCAACGAAGCGCGGTTGGCAATTACCTTGTCGCTTACCGTAGTAGACCTAGTAGACCCTACTAAGACTCTGCGTTAGTTTTGTGAAACTGTTAAGCCGGCAGACGTTCCTTTAAAAGGCCGCCCTCTGACGGCTTTTTTAACGCTGATTCGGGTGACTTGTGTAATTCGCGGAGAACCGAAGAGTTTTCGTTTTGGGCGTGGGGGGGTGGGAGTCCGCCCGCCCGTCCGTCCGTCCGTCCGTCAGTCCGACTAACGGACAACTTTTCACTTCAAAAAAGAAGAAGAAATCTAGACCGCAAAATAATTAAATAAGCGAGTGCCTGTTTTTCCTGGCCAGGGGCAGGTTCCTTGAACACAACACGAGCGTAACGTGTCTTCACGTGGTATATGTCTCGTCGGAAAGGAGTGTAGACTAGAGTGCTGACGGAGAGCACCGGAACGCCGCTCCAGCTCTTCAAATATTGCAGTACCCATAAGGAGCCGTACACACCGCAGTGTTTGCGTGGCTGTCTCTAGTTGTAAAGCACAGTGGCGATCTGTTGTTATTAGCATCTGGTTAGCTAGCTATGCTAACGAATTTAAAGAGCTTTTCTACAACCAGGTGGAAGAGAGCTCTCTCCTGAGAGGCTCAAATAACCTCAGCTCAGTGAGGTTAAGGCACACCTTGATATGATCATTATAGTTATTAATGAGACATTAGAGACTAAATGAAAAACAGGTATAAAATACAATATGACAGTAACAAAAAAGTTGTTAAAAATAACAAGAATAGAGTTTAAAAGGGGAGTGATTTGTAAAATATCCAAAAAGAAGACTCTGCTTACAGTTCTGTTTCATATGGGTGTTGAGAGATGTATCCATAGATCTCTTCATGTTGCTCTCAAAGTGCACCAGATTGATGCTTTTAACTTCAATATTAAAAAAAAAAATCTTCCCGGGGGAGCATGCCCCCGGACCCCACTAGAGGAGGTTAGGTCCCCCCCACTTAAATCTTGTTCACATGGATAGGATACTAAATACATTTGCACACATCTTGTGTCCATATCTTTCTGCCACAACCATGCACGTGCGTGCGTGCATGCGCGAGTCATGGTAAGATATCTGGATTAAGAGGTAGCTTTTTCTTTGCACAGCATGAAAGAAGGGCCAAATTAATTGGCTGTGATTTTAGTTTTTTTAAGCAGTTCAATAATTTGTAGGGCCCTCTGAGGATGTTGTAAAAATTGAAAGGAAAAAGGGTCCCCACCCCTGCTGTAAATAATAATAAAAACCCTTGATTTATAACTTAACATCTCTGTCTCCTATTGATCTGAGTATATTATAAAGAATAGCCAGTTAATTGAAGCATTATAGCAAAGGCCTTTGTCAGATGGTATATGACGTTGTTTTTTTTCTGCTTCGAATAGTTCTCTCTTTTTTCACCATACGTGTGTTTGCATCCCTGATATATATTGTACTTCTTTTATCCACAAGATGGCAGTCAAAGCTCACTAACAGAAGCACCCAGCAAAGTGTGCATCTTTCAATTCAGTTCAGATCATATTTGGCTTACAGGAGATCGCACAAACACAACATACAAGAGGACATGGGACATACTTCACCACAATTACAGCCTTAAATACAATACGAATATGTTTTAATCGAGCTTTTCCAGATTCAAATATTGTACAATTATTTTGTTGTTTTTTCTCTTTTTGTGAAAGGTGATGGAGGAAATGATGTCAGTATGATCCAGGCTGCAGATTGTGGTATTGGAATTGAAGGAAAGGTAAAGACCTCCATTTACTACATAAACAGATTTTGATTAAGATCTCAAGAGAGCTAGTTGGTTCAGTCAAAGAAACTGCAATGATCTTGAAAAACCTTATCAAACACTTAATTTAAGTCAAACAGATATTATTCCTGCAAGGCCACACATTATACCAAACTGTAAAAACTTTAGGGTAACTAGGAACAAAGTGACACATTCTGTAACTTTAGATCATTTTTAATACAATTTCAGAAGTATATGGTTTAACACTTTGGTGTTTTACAACTGCGTCTTTCTAATTGTGTGTGTGTGTGTGAATAGGAAGGGAAGCAGGCATCTCTGGCTGCAGACTTCTCCATCACGCAGTTTAAACACATCGGGCGCCTGCTCATGGTTCACGGCAGGAACAGCTACAAGCGCTCTGCAGCGCTGGGTCAGTTCGTCATGCACAGAGGCATGATCATCTCCACCATGCAGGTATTAAAACACTCACACAATATTCATGTTTAAGTCGTTTTCTCCTTGATGCCTGTTTTAAATAAGTGGTCCTGCTTTTAATTATTGCTCAGTGCTCAAGCCTGAGACAATTTTCCACATTGTGGCCAATATCATTCTTAAATAACTGACTTTATGACATCATTTCTGTTCCCTTTCCTCAGGCGGTCTTCTCTTCTGTGTTTTACTTTGCCTCTGTGCCACTGTACCAGGGTTTCCTCATGGTTGGGTATGCACCTTTTCCAAATGTCTTAATGTTGTAAAAATGTATTGTTTTAAATGTATCTGCCACCTCACAGATACTCCTATTGTAGCCAAGGGGCTAACTTGCCTGTTTAGCATCACAAAGCTATTACCTCTATATAATGGTCTTAGGACAACCAAATGCAATGGTTAATGATGGCTAATATGGCAACAGCCTTACGGTAACACAGCACAGATTTGTGGAAATATGTGGTCCATCTTAACCCTGTTTTGTTGTCTGCAGGTATGCCACCATGTACACCATGTTCCCTGTTTTCTCCTTGGTTCTGGACCAAGATGTGAAGCCAGAGATGGCTCTTCTCTACCCAGAGCTTTATAAAGACCTCACCAAGGTACAGTGCCCTTTTTTTAAATATATTACTTGCAGTGTCGCGATATGCATTCTAAATTAGAAATCCATCCAAAGCTTTTGATTTGATGTTCAAAATCAAGAACAGGATTGGCCATTTTCCTTGTTTTTTTTTCTTCTCTTCACCCACACTTACTTACATGCATCAGAAGGTAAAAAACACTTAGCGGTAGACTGAATCAGCACTTTTCAAAACATTAAAAGATTTTATTTTTTAATTAGTGAGGTGTCACGCTACGTCCACACGGCAGCGCCGCATTGAAGCTTTGCCTCCGTTGCTCGCTTCGAAAGTTGAGAAAAGTTCAACTTTTCAAGCGTTGACGGAAGCGCCAGCCAATCAAATCACATGCCAGTACAAGCTCTAGCCAATCAAACCGCGTGCTTGTGTGTCCAGGGCGGGAGATGAATGTGATTGGTTGTTGGTCGCACGCCGGTTCGGCCCACCGGCAAGCTTCAACGCACGCTGCTGTGTGGACGTACCCTAAGGGAGAAAAACCCTTTTGATCATCAAACAATTGGAAACAATCATGGGCAACTTTGGCTGTGAGGTAGTGCGGTCGTCTTTCAATTGGAAGGTTCGATCCCAGCCTTCGAAGTCGACATGTCGATGTATCCTTGGGCATGATTCTTAACTCCGGGTTGCTCCCGATGCCAACGTTGTGTAAATGTGTGTGAATGTTAGCAAGTGCCACATAGCTCTGTATGAATAAGTGAATGATGACTTGTATACTACTGTACATATAGTACTGTAAAGCCCTTTCAGGATTCTTAAAGACCGGATAAAGCGCTATAAATACCATTTACCATATCCATCAGTGCTTGAAAAATCTAATCAAATCCTGACCTTTTAAATCTAAAGTTTGTTTTCTGCAAATGTTCTCCCTAACATCAAGTCATATCATATATATGTGTTCCACTTATGGATGATGTTTCTCTTTCAGGGGCGTTCATTATCTTTCAAGACATTCCTCATCTGGGTTTTGATCAGCATCTATCAAGGTAAGGTGCTCATTCTAAAAGTAACATAATAGCTCTTATATCTGTAACTGAGCCGGGTACAGTATGGCTTGTCTGTACAGAATGTGCAGTCTGCTACTGTAGACTGTCAAAGCAACTCTTCAACCACCATTTCATCATCTCTCTCTAGCGTGTCTTAATACCAGGGTCCCCGGGCCCCCTTCAAACTCTCGGACGGTCACTTTCTCAGTATCTTAGGTTTCCAACCGCCATCCGCCTTTACATGAGGGCTTTTGTCCGTCCAGTAAATCGATATTTCTGTAATCGCTAAGCCATGCAGCGTGTGAGAAAGATCTATGTTCCTGCTGGAGCGTGACTTCCTGACAGCTCGGGGTTTTTTAATTAAAGGCCAATACCAGGTCTCTGGTAGGGGGTGGGCAGGGTTGGGGGGGCAGGTTAATGTAAAGACGATATGAGAGGACGACAGCGGAGGAGGAGGAGGAAAATATTAGCCGCCAATCTAGTTTAATTTATTACAGAGTTTGACTCGCTGGAATGTGCTGTATGGAGACTATGAAGCAGCAATTATGTGATTCGTTAGAGGCCATTGAGCTCAATTTGTGTTGGTTATGACAGAATGAAGAGCTATCAAGATACAGCAGGCGCCTAAAGATGACTGAGTGTCTGGATACTAAAATATGTTAATCAGACAGACTCACTGAAGCACCTTTAACTCTTATAAAGTTATTAAATCAGTCCTTATCTCCAGACATCCTTGCCTCAATGTCCCAGGCAGCTGACTGTGGAGCAGACCTGAGAAAAAATGATGAAGAAATAATACTTTAAAAATGACACAACCTTCTCTTTACAATCCTGGGCTGTGATCTTATTTTTTTTTTAAAACAGGTCTTATGTGTTTTCCTAACCATTTTTCCTAACCTCAGTGAAAACGTCCTTGCGTTAACGAAAGATGTGAATGAGAAATCATCCGGACTTAGGAAAAGACAATTACAGTGCTGAGACGGTGCAACTTCTAGTGGAAAGCAGATGTTACTGATGCTGTGGGAAAACCCCCATATCTTCCATAGAGGGACTAAGAAAAGAGCGTGTGTTCATATCGAGATGGTTCTTGCGGGGTCTATAAACGTGGACAGGCAAAAGATTATTTACAATTTGTTTATGAAGGTTTGAATGAAAAAACAATTGATGATATGAAATGGTAGCAGGTGCTCACCTTCAACCTCCTTTCCCCTCAGATGTATCAACATTACCCTATTTATTAGTCTCAATAAGTATGAGTGGAACATAAAAGCACTTTAGCAAGTTTTGACAAGAGGGGAAATGCTAAATAAGCAGTGTAACTGACATGATGCTTTTTTGGCCACAATAGATTGTTTCTGTGAACGGCAAAATGTTGCATCACTTAAAATGTTACCCGGCTGCAAGGAATTGTGGGACAGCGTTATCTCCTTTCCTTTAGTCGAGCATGGTCCGGTGTTTCCTATGCTGCAGGAGATAACAAAGGAAGCATTGAAGCTCCTTTCGTATCACCTAGAAAATTCAAAAATATATTATCATGGCTATCACGGTACTTCCGGGTCATTTCACTCCCTAAGGAACTTTTCAAAAATATTATTCAACAACAGCCCTTGTTTAATCCGCCTCCTCCATCACTAATGTGTTCTGGTAATATCATGTGGTTGATGTGTTTCCTCTGGCCACCAGGGGGCATCCTCATGTACGGCGCTCTGGTGCTGTTTGAGTCTGAGTTTGTGCACGTGGTGGCCATCTCCTTCACGGCGCTCATCATCACGGAGCTGCTGATGGTGGCACTCACCATCCGCACCTGGCACTGGCTCATGGTGGTGGCCGAGTTCTTCAGCCTGGGCTGCTACCTGGCCTCCCTCGCCTTCCTCAACGAGTACTTCGGTAGGTCTCCATTGACTCCACGCTTGTATCTTTGAAAACCTCGGAAACTAAAAGAAAAGCTTATTTGTTTAATAAAAAAATACATTTATGAAATGAGTTTGAATAATTGAATGTGTCAAAGTTTAATGAAAACTGAAAATATATAAATAAATATTAGAGAAGTTACCCACACAAGGCTTTTGGAAAAATGTCAGTTAACTTACATTTTGTTATAGATTCATCTGCTTATTCCTTTCTAAATAAATACATGTTGTGACATTATTTCTCTTTAAAATGTCAAAAGATATAGAACAATTATTAATGTAATTTCCCAAAACCCAAGTTAAAATTATGAAATTGCTACTTTTGTTCCACCAGCCCACCAAAACCCAAAGAAATGTAGTTTACTATTACATGTGACAAAGAAAATAAGCAAATCCTCACATTTCAGACTTTGAAATGACTAGAGCTTATTGAAATAGATCCCAAATAAGATATCATTTGAATACATTGGCTAATCCATTCTGGTCTGCTTTCATGTAGCACATAGCTCTGGCTTTTCACTATCGTAGAAGCATATCTTCACTTAACCCTTTTAATCCAGTATTAATTTGACACTTTCTCTCTGTAACTGCTTTGTTTTGAATCTAATGTAACACTACAACACTACTCCTAATGGTGTGCAGTAGTTTTAGCTCTGTGCTTTTATGCTTCCGTCTGTCTGTCCCTGTCATCACTGCTAACCTGTCTCACTGTTTCTGCTGCTCTCTTATGCTCCTGTATGTTTGCGACAGGCATAGGCAGGGTGTCCCTGGGAGCTTTCCTTGGTAGGTTGGCAGCCTGTCAGTTGATCTCCTCATGTATCTCTTTGCACTTCCCAGTGATGTTTGTCTGTGTCATCATGTTGTGTTTTTTCCATTTGAGCTTGTGTCATCATGTTGTGATTGGATTCTTCTCCGCTGTCTCTCCACTGTTCGTGTGGTTTTATCGCCCTGTGATCAAGTTGCATACTAGATTGAATGCTTACAATCCCGTGAAGTAATAAACCACAAAAAAAAAAGTGTATTCAAGCTGTTCTTCCCCCCCCCCCAGACCTGTCCTTCATCACGACGTGGCCTTTCCTGTGGAAGGTGTCGGCCATCACGTTGGTCAGCTGTCTTCCTCTCTACATCATCAAGTACCTGAAACGCAAGTTCTCCCCCCCGAGCTACTCCAAACTCTCCTCATAAGCCATGAGCTTTCCATTGTCAGCACTTTTTCCACTCGCCGATCCTCAGTGATGGACAGGTAAGGAACCACTGGAACAATCCAAAATGGAGGGAAATCAGTTCTTCGGATTATCTCACTGAGATTTGGGATTACTTGAAAAAACAGAGCACATGGGAAGACTCTAAACGATGGATTTAGTCACGCAAAAGAAGGGCAACACGGTGTGAGTGACTGCACTAAGACCCCATTTTTCATAAAGGGTCAATCTGCCTTTATTTGTTTTAACGCATTTCAAACAATCCAAATGTCATTTTATACAGTTCTGCATTTTTTTGGATGTCTACATTTTTATATGTGAAGTTTAGAATTTTTTTAGTGTCGTTTTTTTATTCTTGGTATTAATTACAGTTGCCGGCCTGCATTTTTTTAACTGAGTTGAGTAGGGACAAAAGTGTTTTCTTTGTTACTGTTAATAAAGCCTTTACATGCAGCATTGATCCTTAATGCTGTCACGGTAAAACCTCACTGCGCTAATTCTTTAAAGATAAACATTACGACATTCACAAATGCTGGTAAAACTTTATTTCTGTGCGTTTGCTGCTTCGCGTCCTTTACATTTTGTAAGACGGCGCATGACATTATCATCTCTGTATTATGAACCAGCACTCCATAGCAGCACTAAACATTGTTTTGTTAGTGTATTTGCGATGTTTGTCGATGTCTGCCAAACTTCCTGTTTGGACGTGGCCGCTCGCTTTGTGCCTCACCATGACGTGTGTTAGTGTGCTGAAGCTGCATCTCACATAAACAATCATCAGAGGTGTTTGTTTTAGTTACCTCTGCAGCCAGATGTGAACCTCGAGGAACTTCAATTCTCTTAAAGAAAACATTTTTCCGAAGAGGAAACCACTTTAAAAGTCACAACAAAGGACCCCGAATACTGACGGCTGTTTATTTTTAGACCTTTACTGACAATATGACTCCCCTGGGCTTCCATGTGACTTTGTCCTGTAGCAGACGGTGACATTGAGCTCTCTTTGAGGAGGAATGAGTTTTATCATTCCCTCTGTGTAATGCTATTGTTGAGCATGATCTAAGCTCAGTGTTAAATCAGTTTTTTTAAATATACATTTCAGTAAACAGGATTTATTATAGCTATGATTATTAGTCTGGTTGTCATATATCTTTGAATCATAGTTGAGTTAAACTCAGGTCGATCATTCCTAAACACGGCTGTTAGTTTAAATCGTGGCAACTATACTGTAAAATGTAGCTACACTATAATTAAAAAGACTAATAAATGATGCAGTTGTGCGACTGCGACACAGCGTTTTAAATTCCGTATTGACATTCTTATGAAGAGCAATTCCAAAAGTGTTTCCTGCTGAGACCTGTGTTCTGTGTATGTGATAATGTATACACTTTTCTTTCTTGTCAACTTGCTTTCCCTGTCCTACACTGCGATTTCTAACAGTATGTCTTTATTTATACAATTGTTATTGAAAATGAATAATAAAAAGAGACAACAGTTTCTATACATATCATTTTTTTTTCTAAAACATCTATATAGCAACAGAAACTCTTCAGGAGAGTTTGTTTTATTCACCATGAAGTGCATCTTGTGGCCACTAGATGGAGGTAGAGACTAAACCTTGGACATGGATGTGGACGGATGTGGCTCAAAGTAAAGTATTACACTGAAATACTTATACTGCTAATATATACTTTTACTCGAATACAATTCAGAGGCAAACATTTTACTTTATCCTCCACAATATTAATGGCCCACTTGTTTTCGGATTTATTTTATTCATTTAAAATATCATCAATACATATATGTTTTTGAATTGTATTTGTATTTTAGACTTATATAACTTTAATAGCCCCCTGTTGAATAACTTGGTAATCAAACTTTTTGCATCAGAAAGCAGATAAAGTGCTAATTTATTTTAAATATTTGTATAAAATTTGAAATTGTATTTGTATTTTTATGTTTTAAAGATCCCATTGTATATTAAGTGAGATTTATGTTGATTATAAAGCATATCTAGAAGCCATACAAATAGGCCTACTGTGAAAGTGTCAAAATGCTAAATCAACGCCGGTGACATGTGCGCAGTCTGTGTTATATGTCTGTGGTAGTGATGGTTCTTACTGATGTTTGTTTAAAAACAGTTAGCTTGTGCCAATTTATCCGCTTAATTTGCCTTTTCATGGTCAAAATCTGAGCTGGAATTATGGAACAACTTTGGGTCAAACTTTGTGATATCATTTATTTATTCATTTAAAATTCTAAATCCACAGTGAAATGCAAGGGCGTTTCCTGGACCTGGAAACATTCGGGTTTAGCCCACAGTTTATTAAGGTACATTAAGGTAACTTTCTGCTGCAACACTCCCCACACGCAAACACAGTACACCGGCGACTGTTACAATGAAGGCTCGATAATCAGCTCAAGGCATATACTGTAGGTGTAAACGGGGGTAACCTCCGCTAGAGGGTCCTCACCTCCTCTTGGGGGGTCCATTCTCCCCCGTGAAGATTTTTTTTTAAATATTGAAGTTAAAAGCATCAATCTGGTGCACTTTGAGGGCAAAATTAAGATATATGCATACTTATTTTAACACCCATGTGAAACAGAACTCCAAACAGATTTTCTGCGAAAGCCCCGGATGCCCAGCCCAGGCGACGCGCCTGGTGAAATGCATGCATTCTGTTTTGAGAAACTGCCTTTAAAGTAGCTGCCAGGACCCCCATTAGGTTGTGATGTCACAGCTAAAGTGAGCGGTATAAATGATGCTCTACTCCGTGTAACGCAGTATAAACTGAGGAGTGAGTTTCATGTGTTTTCTTCACTCCGCTGGTAAACTGCTCTCATGTCAAGAAGCAACAGATCAGTGCATGCGCTGCATCGTCCAATCAGTGAGCGATACACAGTAAGGAGGCGGGGCGACTGTCTGAGGATTTCACCGGAGGATGGTCCGGTAGTTCCTCGACTATCGCTCATACATACTAGTGACTAGTTATGGCTCTTTGAAGGGAGCCGGATCTTATGGCTCCGTTCCTTTCAAAGAGCCATTCAAAAGAGCCGTTTTTTTTTTAAAGGGGGCGGGGTTACTAGGTTTATCTGCGAAATAATCACCAGGATAATGATTGACTGTATTGCCAGACCTAATGTCAATAATCCGCATTGTAAACATGACAAGGTGGCGCCATATTCATGTCAGTGAATGTACTACTTTGAATGTACCCTCTGTAAAGGGGACCTATCATGCAAAATGCACTTTAGTACGTCTTTTATACACGAATATGTGTCCCCGGTGTGTCAGGGAACTCACCAAGTGTCAGAAAACACAACCCTCTCTCTTTTCCTCCATACCCAAATCTCTAAAAACGGGGCTGCAATGGAGCTGATCATTATTTGAATGTTTCTGACGTCAGAAAAGGGGTGCTCCGCCTATATGGGCAACTCTCCACCTATCAGGGGAATGAGAGACCGCTCGAAAGCGCTGGAGACGCTGTAGTACATATGCCAGGCCTGTAAGTGGCACTGTAGTCTGATGCAAAAGCAGAATCAGCCCTTGCAAAAACAGGGCCGGAAAAGAGCAAATAGAGCGAAATGAGGCATGGCTAAAATGCATGATCTGTTTGGTATTTTGAAAAAAAACTTCGTACAGACATGTTTTATATAGGTATGGACCCCTACAAACTATGTTTCAACATATAGACATGATAGGTCCACTTAAACGAAATAAATTTGCCTTTTATGAAAATTCACGGCAACTCTTAATTTTAGATACTGTGTTTGTTTAAGTGGCATCGGCGTTATTTGTCTGGACCCTGCTGTGAAGGATATTTGGCCTCTACAAATGGTGCGCTTTATCACTGCCTGGGTTTTGGTGAAGTGCTCCAAATGCTGCTGGCGTTTTGCATTTGGCTCATTTTTCCCATCCGAAAAACAACGTGGCTCTACCTGTCCTGTACCACTTGTTATGACTTTCTCTCTCGCTTATTCCATTAAGGAAGTGGGGATTTTTTTTTTACCTGGGGGGCGCTATTTTAATTAGGTCATCCCATAACCACATGCAACAAAGGTGCGGGCACGCCACGCAGTGCACTCACCAAAAACGGGGCAGACAGGTCCACAGAACATAATACTACCGGTATGCTTAGTCTACTTTAGTTACTGTACTGCAGGAAACAGACGGCACTGCGCTCAACACACACACAGACTCCAAAAAACCATGGACACCACTGGCCACAAAATGACCATAAACAATTTGTAGGCCTAAAATTGATAAGCTACGCAGTATTGCAACTAAGCAGGACACCTGCTTCTCTCTCTTCTCTATCTCCACTTTCAAAAACTCTATTTAAAAACTCATAACAAACACAATTCCGTAAAAACGTATTAAATAAACAAACGAAAAATATTAGCCTACTTATGCCAAAACAACCATTGAATCTGACTTGAAATAGGCCTAGCACATTGCAAATAAAGCAGACGGCCACTGTTTTACACACACACCACACCACCACACAACACACCACCACCACACACACACACACCCACGACACACCCACACACACACCTTTCCGTTTTGAAGATGATACATCCGAAATGGATGAACAAACCTTTGCCAGCCAGTTTCCCAGGCTTTGCAGTCTTATCCATGGGGTATTGCCCTTTCTTGTTTCCTCCCGGCCACATTCCTCCGTCCAACCTCTTGGGAAAGGCTTACGCCCTTTGAGCTAGCCAGGGGGACGTTGCATAGCGGCAGCTAACGTTAACGTTAGTGCTAGCATTATCCACGTCTGTTTAGGGCCGGCTCCTTTGTGATCGGATGTGTACTAGTCTAGTAGCAGCTTCACTTGTAGGCTTCGGGTGCTGCTAGCCTCTTTCTTCCTTGTGAATTATATTCTTTTTAGGAAAAGAGGTCAAACAGTAAAAAATGTTAAGGCCTGCCATTATAGGAGGCTTTTGTGGTTTAGCGTTCTTGGAGAGGAAAGAGCTGCCCGCAAAATAGGCGAGTGGGCTGGACACGCACCCCGAGGCTCGCCGCCGCGTCAGAGCGCTTGATGACGAATCGTAAATTTTTTAAAGGGAAACGCTTTTATTTTTATTAAATACTTTTGAAATGTATTATGTGTGTGTCATTATTACACAAATACACACTTTGCAAACTGATACCACACTGGCAATTGGGATTTTATATTTATTAGACCATTAAAAAGAAAGATCCATGCTCCAAATAAGTGGGGGTAACGGGCGTACCCCCGCGTCCAACGCCCACTACACCACTGGGTTAAAAGACCCAACCCCATCCTCACTTCCTCATGCTGAAACCTACCAATCAGAAGTATGGCGTGTCTTCACCAGAATACGTTTGGGGAACAAAAATCAAGGATTTTTAAAAGGCAGTGGATTTTGGCAAGGCAGTGAGTGGTGGACCCAACGATTGAACGATAACAAGAACGGGGCTCTCACCAAGTACGACTCGATTCCCCTCGTTCCGTTTAACCAAAAGAGCCGGTTCAAAAGAAACGCTTGTTCGCGACCAACATCACTATACATACTATCGCTCCGTTATCGCTCCTTTGGATCCTCGTTGCCTCCGGGCAACAAATTAGGCCACCTGGGACGCACTTCAAGGATGGCGCACACAATCAATTAGTGAGACCGAGACCGAGGAGCGAGGAAATGGGAAAAATTAACCAAGTGAGGACGCAGCCAGTGAGTCCCGCGTCGATGGATGTATAATAAGGAACTGGATTTACAGCGTGGGGTAGCGGGGCCCATTAATTGCCTATGAGGGAGTTGCTCATTGGCGCATGATGATAAAATGGCCCAACTTTTGTAGAGAGCGAAACGTCACCAGATTACCGCATGCCGTGAGAGAGTACCGGTATGTGCGCTTATAGCGCAATGCGCACTGTTACCAAAAGTTGGGGCCATTTTATCATCATTGCGGCCAATGAGCAACTCTCATAGGAATTAATGAGGCCCCGCCTTCCCACGCTGTATCCAGTTCTTATTATACATCCATGACGGGACTCACTGCTGCGTCTCACGCTTTGGTTATTTTCTCATTTCCTCGCTCCTCGGTTCTCGGTATCACTAATTGGATTTGTGTTGCGCCATCTTGAGTTGAGCGTCCCCAGTGGCCTAATTTGTGCCGGAGTGACCGAGGATCAAGGAGCGATAACGGGATCGATAGTACTGTATTAGTGATGTGTCGGTCGCGACAAAAGCCGATTCTTTTGGAACGGCTCGTTTGGTACGAACGAGGGGGAATCCGAGTCGTACTTGGTGAGAGCGAGTTCTTGTTATCGTTCAATCGTTGGTCCACACTCACGCCTGCCAAAAATCCACTCGCCTTTTTAAAATCTTGATTTTGTTCCCCCAAAAACGTATTCTGTGAAGACACGGCCCATACTCTGATTGGTAGGTTTCAGCAGAGGAGGTGATTGATGGGGTGGTGGTCTTAACCAGTGGTTAGGTGGGGCGTTGGATCGCGGGGGTACGCCGTACC